ATGTGAACCTCGGTCCTCTCGCAGACCTAGCAAGAACCTGCCTCCCACCAGCCGGACGACTGTCAGCCCAGGCTGCCTTCGTCGGCCGACCAATCTGTCATGCCGCTCGGTGGCAGCGGTCCGTGATCGCTCGCGACGGTGGCGCGACCTTGCCCGGCCCCGCCCGTGCGCCGCCCGAGCGCGCACCATTTGGGACGCATTCCTGGAGCGCGCTGCTCTCTTTGTGTGGCGCCGCTGGCCCGCTGGGAGGGGGGGGGGGGGCACATCCGGCCCCTCCCCCGGGTGCAGATCGGCAGGGACATCAACCCGTGCCTAGGCGATTTATCGGTGGATCGCGGCTGCTATTGGCGGCTTGTCAGGACATACGGACCTCGGTCAAGCGCGGAGGCGGCACGGAGATGGGCGGTGAGTCATCCCCTGCCGTGGGAGCGAGTCTCCACGGCTGATATTGGGAGGAGCTACCTTCTTTGTATGCTCAGCTCGGATTAAGCATGCCCAGGCCACGAAAAGTTCAAAAAGTTGCGGGCGCACCTGTACCCTTTCCATTCTGCGGTTCGCGCGCCCTTGGAGGTGAGGAACATCGCACGGCAGGCATGCCGCCGCCCGCCAAGACTTCCGACCAATGAAACTTAGATCCGCCACGCATTCTCAGGTGCAGGCGCCATGGCGCTGGGACCAGCGGCAGGTCTAAAAGCGCCGCCGTTTCTCCGTCAGCGGCGGTATTTGCAGGGTGCCAGCTCGCCTCGTCCGTCGCCAGGTGCCGGCTGATGCCCGGACGTAGCCGTCCCAGGCCAGAGCCCACAGAGCCGCTCTCCTGTCGCATCATGTACAGCGAAGGTGAAAGCACATCTTGCACACAAATCCGCGGTGTCAGCAGGTCCACGCGGACCAAACAACGATGACTAACTCTTGTAGCTGATGGGATCTAGCACAGCCTCTCTGTGGCCGCTCACATCACAGAGATGCAAGCCCGCGGGATGTGCTGACTTAGTACTTTCCGGCTGTTGGTACAAAGATACCGTACTGTAATCCATGTACATTCATAGGAAAGGTATTCACGAGCATCCTTTCCTTTATCTAATCTACCTGATATTCGGGTGGTTTTAGCATGCTTGCCCACTATCCAATCCAAATATGTATTTACCCCACCAGTACCGTTATGAGTGTGCATGGAACTGGAGGGGACGGGGAACAGCGGTTTACTGGAGCGAACGGGGAGCAGAGCGGCAGCTGGAGGGGACGGGGAGCAATGAGACACTGGAATGAACGGGGAACAGCGGGGCACCGAAGCGGACGGGGAGCAACGGGGCAACTCCCTCGCATCCTCCAAATGAGACGCATTGAAACCGGGAAGGTTTCCGAAATCCAGAGAAAGTGAGGGCACATAGGGCTCTTCTGACTTAACTCACTGCTTTACCCTAAACCCAACCCAAACCACATCTGTGCCCCCTTCCGGCGGAAAAGCATCGAGGGTTCTGTTATCCCGCACTGCATCCGCTGTTTTGCCAGTTTCCAAAGTGTCAATTCTAAGGTGCAGAATATAAATATATATATATATATATATATATATATATATATATATATATATATATATATATATATATATGTGTGTGTGTGTGTGTGTGTGTGGTGTGTGTGTGGTGTGTGGTGTGTGTGTGTGTGTGTGTGTGTGTGTGTGTGTGTGTGTGTGTGTGTGTGTGTGTGTGTGTGTGTGTGTGTACGTGTGTGTGTGTGTGTGTGTGTGTGTGTGTGTGTGTTTAAGTGTAAGTGTGTGTAGTGTGTGTAAGTGTGTGTAAGTGTGTGTAAGTGTGTGTAAGTGTGTGTGTGTAAGTGTGTGAAGTGTGAATAAAAAAGCATAGAATCACAAAAATCTTTGCCGGCAGTGAATGGTCCACGTCCTTGTCCATGTGCAATCCTAGTTGTGCACAAAACTTTCACAAATCCGGCTCCACACCCATTAAATATTGCGGCCAGGGGTAAGCCTTTACCCACGAAGGCTTTGGATTTTCAGAGGCTGCGTGTCCTACGATTATCCGCAACGGCAGTATGCTCTTCACAGACGCGCAGGGTACGGATGAGTCTTAGGTCCCGATGACCGAAGAACACACAACACCCAGACGTCAGCAGCGGCGATGAAGGCAGCTGGACGGGCAACCGGCGCCAGCTAACGACAAAACATCACCTGAGAAAAACACTTTGATGTTTATTGCTGCCTTCGCTACCAACTGATTAACATCGGACTCGTGTTACGGAACTCGACCATGTTCACACGCTCAAGAAGCTGATGATCGACGGTGACGGTCAAACGAACGAGACGGCCGCTTTCTCCGCCGACTAGCGGCTAGCACCTGACGTATATCTGGCGCACGTGAACAGCGGCGGCGCGCCGAGTCGCGACGAGGTCACTCGGCGCGTTTCATTGAGAACCGTACGCCCGCCTGTGGGAGTGTGGCTTCTCAATAAAACCCCGCAGCTCTCGCATCGAGGGACTCTAGATCGCCGACGGTGTCTCTCCGCGCATGCGCAATCAGCCGGGAGTACGGTGGGGTTCCGCTCAAAGCTACCGGTCAGCAGGGGCGTATTCAGAAGAGGGCACCGGGTACATGTTTTCCCCTTCTCAAAATGAATGCCGCATGTATTAATACACATATGACTCAATGAAATAAGGGAGACATGTGATGATACATAGTTTGAAACCGTGTGATATTGTTTTACGCGATGCAGGGAACCTCGCCAGCTTGCAGCGGGCTAAAAGGCATCGTTTAGTGATGCGTTGTGCCCTCATTACAAAATCCTGCATACGCCTCTGCCAGTCATCGCAGCGCATGGGAACTGGTGGCGTTGCACGCTCACCTCCGTTATGTGGGACATCACGAGCCACGCTACCGGCGTCGGGCACAGCGCTGGGAAGCTGCATTGTCTGAGAAAGTCCAGTACGGACCCATCGAAGGACGGCGAAAAACGCGCAGCGTGCGCGTAAAGCGTGATCAACAGCTCATACAGGTTTTGGCCTGGAGAGGAACTGTTATTGCTAGGCCTGGAATCGAACTTGATCAAGTGCGTGAGAAATAAAGAATGACGTCTTCGTCCACCGCTTTTTGAGCCAAAGCACATCACCCGGAAGAACAGGGAACGTGGTTCTTGATAAATTGATAAGTTGTTCGTTGTTAGCAGGGCCAGTCCATGGCAAAAGTTAATCTCTCAATTCGATCTTTCTCAGCAAAGTCCCGGTCATCTCGTTTCCGTTACGGTTAGACTTCTTGGTTATCTAAGGAAGACGCGAGGTCATCACGACCACCAGCCTGCCCCTCGCAGAACTGTATCCACGTATGCACATCCCAGCATCCGCACGCTATCACGACGGTCTCTTAAAAGTTCAGCAGTTGAAACCTTATCGGCGTGGCGATCCAGCCGTTCGCCAGATTACGTTGACAGACCGCACAGAGTTTACGTGAGTGCGAAAGAGCGCGGTCTGCAGGCTCTTCAGAGAACCGTTCTGCAGCGCTGCGCCTCCAACTAGGTCACACCTGCCGCCATGCCTGGCCCTCGGATGGCCGCGCGATGCGGACCATGCGAACGCAGATGTCGAAATATCCCAGAGCCTTGTGCTTAATGCTCAGTCGCATTACCAAAGTTCGTGTCCGGGCCAAGCGACGGGCTTTAACGGCTTCATGTGATAATCCAGATGATTTACTGCGGCGTCCCAATCGTCGCGGATTGCCGTGCTGACTGGAGAGGGCGTGACTGTGACGGAGCTGGTGCGACACGGCCCTTTACCCGGCCCGGAGACGCGGATCAGGCTGGTCGCAGACGAAAGCTCCCAGCCGCCGATGCTTCTATCCACCAACGCTGGGGCGTTATCCTATGTCAGTGACTTGACTTAGGGCAGAAAAATGATGTAGAAATGGGCGCTTTCGGGTTCGTGTCAACGACAAAAACATGAGAAAGAAAAATGCGCTCACTTGAACACGGAAACTAGCCAGAAAACGTAAGTTGAGTGTACTGGATTGCTGTTCAGCAGCGCTCAATGTGTGAAACAACGCATCCAGTGACGGCACAGTCGCTGTTTTAACACAGTCGCTAATCAGATTAGCAGCAATAAATGCAAACACAGCTTCGAAGTAGATCATGCTTTATTTGAAACACCTAAGCAGAAACGCTTACAAAACAAAATCTTACAGCCACCAATGGCAACACGCGATACTGATTACTGCATCGACCAACATAATGCATTTCAGTCTCAAACAAACCGTAAAAATGAACATTTCTTTACCTTCAAGGCATAACATCCCATAAGATCTTGATAACGAAACGGCGCTTCGCACCTTTTGGAGTATGCATCACAGGGCTGCACGACTTTGCAGGTTCCTAGGGAACAATGCCGCCTCATAATTTTGGCCAACCAAAGACTAGCATACCACCGCAGCATGCCGATTCCATGCGCAGTGATGTTTGCACAGCTCAGCCTCTATAGCGTGCTCAGACAATCATTTCTTGGGGACCATAGATATGCAGGTCGCGATGAAACCATATACTCATCTGACATTGGAAGCGGGTCTAATGCAGCGAAACCTTTCCCACTAATCTTACACATCCCCATACAACGGCCAAGCAAAAATCCCAGGAGGACAGTTGCAAAGTCCGTAGAAAACAGTACCGGAACATTAAATACCACACACAATTTGCTTGATGTAAAAAACCAAACCCTGTGCAATTCCGTCACTTAGCTTCGGACATAATTAACTACAGTGCCCACACCAAGTCAGGTGGTGTAAGGTGTTTTCTGCTAACTACGCCGGGTTCGACTTGATTCAGCTGCGACGTGCGCTGGCGCACCAGTGATAACCAGACAACACAGCGGCCAACCCACACACACAAACGCATGGCCACACGCCCGCGGACAGGCGCGCGGGGCGCCACCACCAGGCGACACAGAGCTCCCACTGGCGGCTTGGAAGCTGCCGCCCCCGCGCAGTGGCACCCAGCGAAGCGGGCCTGGCCCCGAGGCCAGGCCGGGCCCGGAGCCCGTAGCGGTAGGCGCTGAAGAGCCGCGCCCGGTGACAGCGACGCAGGTCGGCGCCGAGAGCGCGGCGCCAGAGACAAGGCAGGACGACGAGAGAGGGTGAGGCGGGCGGCGCGGGCGCGACAGCGAGGCGGCCGTGGCCACAGACAGAGGGCGCGGCGAGTCCGGCCGCTGCCCGCGACGGCCGGTCGCAGGAGGCAGACCGGCGCCCGGGCTTCGGCGGCCTCCGTGGCAGGAGCTCTGGGACCGCGAGCTCAGCGAGGCGCGGAGGGAGCCGCGCTGTGGCGGCTAGACGTTGTACTGCTGCATCGTCTCCGTCATCTTGTTCTTCATCCACTGGAGAACAAAACATGACAAGTCATCACTGGCGTTCTCTCCGTCTCCCTCGTGTAAGAAAGTAAAACGACTCACAACAAATATTTCAGGTTAAGCCTGCGCGGACCAAAGCTTTAAGACTTTCACAGGCGCCGCTGTGTGCTGGACGGACCAGGCAGCACAGTACTCAGCAAACAACCGCGCCCGAGCCCAACCGATGCTGATTCCAGTCACAGTACGGTGAAGCCTGCATAAGGTTAGACAAAAAAAAAGTGTGAAAAGACTTACACTTCTATGTACATTCACCCTTTTGGCCACATTAACACTTTCACACGTCATATAATGCACTTCGCAACAACCATTCTTGGTGCGTCGCAAAAAAGATGGTCTACAGGTCACAATGATTCAACGGGGGCTTGCATCGATCACTCTCATGCTCTCGACGCTGATAGTTGGTCCCAACATTTCGCTGAAGTGGTGAGCGGAATCCCGGGAGCACATTCCACCGCATACGTCGCCATCTTCGCATACGAAAGTTGAGCATTCCATGCCTCGTGAGAAAAATAATGCCTACACCGTCCATATCTGAACCATGCCACACCGAGACTGCGAGTGGCAGCGTCTGTCGGAGATCTCTGCGTCCGCACCTCGTCCGCGTCCCGGGCCGGGCCGGGCCGGGCGCCGGCGGCCGACGGAGCGCCGCTGCCAGGCGCGCGGCGACACCCCCCCCCCCCCCCCCCCCCCACTCACCTCGGCGCTGGTCTTGTCGGTGATGGGCACAGTCTTGGCGCCCTCCGAGCCGCCGAACAGCGAGAAGCCCTTCTTGGCGGCGGGAACGCGCAGCTCCAGACCCTTGGCCGTCAACTTCGGCGGCCCCGACAGCTCCTTCCACATGTAAGTCCAGTCCACCTGGCGGAGCGGACGACAGTTCAGCCTCCGCCGCCCAACACGGGGCGGCCGCCGCTGCCCGGCCTCCGGTCAGGGGCGGCGCGGCTCGTGAGGGAGATCGACACCACTGCCGCGGGGAGCGCGGTGCGATCAGCAGCCCCGGGAACACGTCCCGAGTGGGCGGCGGCCGACTGAACCCGGTCCAAAGCCGCACGCGGCCGACCAGCCAGCCGGCGCTCACGTCACACAGACACGAATACCGTGCAAACACGGTGGCGTCGACATTCTTACATCATATGGACGAAGCTCGGTGTGCACTAGTTCGTGCACAAGAGGAACACCACACAGACATCGTCTGTTGCCGGGCCCCGTTCAGCGCGACGAATGCCGTCCGGCTGGGACCTACCTGCCAGTTTCCAAAGATTTCGTTGCGGTTCAGCAGGAACACCCTGAAGTCAGTGAGCAGGAAGACGACCCTGCGGTCGGCCCGGCAGATGGCGTGCGCCACGTACGCGTCCGTGGTGGCGTACCGGCCCTTCTCCAGCTCCTGCCGCCGGCACACACGCGTCACACAGGCGTCTGACTGGGAGCGAAGCGACGGGCCGGCGCACCCGAAGCGTGACTAACAACCTCGTGTCCAAACACGGCCAGACGGCGGAGACAATGTGAACAGCACTGGTGCCAACAGTAAACTTACTAGAGGCAAAACAGCCGAAAGAATATCAATCGAGGAAAGTGGTAAACCGTCAGAAGGGCGCATGTTAGCTGTGCGTGAAGCAGGCACGAAGTATTACCAAGCAGCAGAGATGTAGACTGTCGACATCTGGCTCACGGCGCCATGTCGCACAGACACGGTCCGGGGCCGGCCGATGTCCGAGCGCCCTTCATTAGGCCTGATCGCTGCACCACAGGCGGCTACAGTGCGGTATGCAGGACATCAAACCTAATTCGCCGCCCGCTTCGCCTCTGACCCCGCCACAGCGGTGCGTGACACCCAGGGTGCTGTTGTTGATTGAGGTTTAAAGCCGCGTCGGCTGGTGAAGTCATTTTGCGCCCGGCGTGAACGGCAGGGGGCCATGGAAAGCCCCGGCCGGGTGACGCCGTTCCGGTCCGTACCGACCGTGCCCCGCGCCCCGCGCCACGTGGCGTCCGTGTCGACCACCCACCAGTAGCATCTTAGCGCCCTCGGCCTCGTGCCGGACGTAGGGCCGGATGATGCGGTCCGCCTGGAAGTGACGCGGCGGCCGCAGCCGGGTCACCTCGTCCTGGTCCATGGTCCTGCCGGGAGCACCGCGCACGCAGGCCGGCTCAGTGACAGAGGCGGGGGCACCGCCGGCTCGGCGACCGCGGAGGGGACGGACAGGTGTCCCGCTCCGAGACCCCGCGCTGTAGCTGGCGACCTCTCGGCCCCGAGCGGCGGCGACACGGCCGACGAGTTCGACGGCGGACTCCTGCCACACTCATCCGTGGAGATACGTGACCGGAAAGCATAACGACCAGACTATAGCGACAACAGAAACAGCAAAGCCTTCACAATATGGGCAGCGTGAACGTGATGCGAATGAGGCCGTATTACTCTGAAAGCGGTTTTGACCACGACATTCATCTCGAAATGCCACCACCATCACACGTGCTTCACATCTAATTACAAAGTCCTGAGAGGCAAATGGCAAGACGGGATATGATACGTCCTCTTTGCAATGTCACATCGTGACCTGAGAAGTCGTCAATAAGAGGTCGTCAATAGCGCATGCTGCATGAATATCATAACATTCTGTACTTATTGATCATGCCCCGCCACCAAGTCCCAAGACACGCAGGAGTCAGCGCTGTCTCACTCTCAGAGATAAGCAAACACATGATATATTTGCAAGCAAAAACAAAAACGGAACAACGCTTGCACCGCCACCCTACGTATCCCCAATAACTACCCGTCTCCGTCCGAACAACAGTTTGTGTGAAGACTATATGCCCATCTGCGAAACACACACACGCCGTGGTTACACTCCCAGAGTACGCCGCGGAGGGGAGGGTCCGAGGACGGGCACGGTCCCGCGCCTGTACCCGGAGAGCGACGGGATCAGTGGATAGAGCGGAGGGGAGGGTCCGAGGACGGGCACGGTCCCGCGCCTGTAGCCGGAGAGCGACGGAATCAGTGGATAGAGCGGAGGGGAGGGTCCGAGGACGGGCACGGTCCCGCGCCTGTACCCGGAGAGCAGTGGGATCAGTGGATAGAGCGGAGGGGAGGGTCCGAGGACGGGCACGGTCCCGCGCCTGTACCCGGAGAGCAGTGGGATCAGTGGATAGAGCGGAGGGGAGGGTCCGAGGACGGGCACGGTCCCGCGCCTGTAGCCGGAGGGTGACGGTGATCAGTGGATAGAGCGGAGGGGAGGGTCCGAGGACGGGCACGGTCCCGCGCCTGTACCCGGAGACGGATCAGTGGATAGAGCGGAGGGGAGGGTCCGAACGGGCACGGTCCCGCGCCTGTACCCGGAGGGTGACGGTGATCAGTGGATAGAGCGGAGGGGAGGGTCCGAGAACGGGCACAGTCCCGTGCCTGTAGCCAGAGAGCGACGGGGATCAGTGGATAGAGCGGGTGGGGGGCTCAGCACGAAGGACGAGACGAAGCTCTGTGGAGACGTGGTTAAGATATTACGAAAAGAAAACGTGCTAAAATGTATGGGGATGGAGATGCAGATTTAGAGCTGGAGTCTGTTTCTATGGGCAATAATTCCGATTATTTCATCCCGGACGAAATTTGTATTCTTGTTTTAGGAATCAGTATCGCTATTTCATGAGTCCGTTCCGACGGGCAAACATTCCGATTAACCTATCACGCACGAGGCTTTTATTCTGTTTTTAGAGATCAGCATCGCTCTTTCAGTAACAGGGAACGGATTTCTCAGTCTCAGCACGAGGCTTTTATTCTGTTTTTAGAGATCAGCATCGCTCTTTCAGTAACAGGGAACGGATTTCTCAGTCTGAACTAGCGTCTCAATCCTAACTCGGATTCGGAAACCCGATCCTGCTGGCCGATGCTTTCATGAGCTATCAGAGCTATCTTTCATCGGAATAAGAGATGTCTTGTTGTTCTTGAGTGGAGTCTGAGGGCACGTCAAGTGCTGAAATCATTTTGCGCCATCGGGATCAGAGCAACAGGCCCGGCTAACTGAATCTGTTGTGTTCACATAGAAACTGGACCAGTAATGTAGATTGCCGAGGACGCAGAGCGGGAGACAGACGGAGAACAAAGGCAAGAGATGCGGTGGGAGACTGACGGAAGGCAGCACAGGCAGCGGTCATAGACAGAATACTGTCTGCACTGGGAGATGGTTCGGGGAGGGGGGACGGGGCTTTGAGGAGGCTGCGGGTGAGGGGGGGGGGGGCGGCCCCCTCCCTGCCGGGCGGACTCTGGCGCGGCACGGGCACGCCGTCACACCGGTCTGACCGGCCAACCGCAGGCCAATAACCTGTTCAGCTTTTTTATCAACTTAAGATCCGTCTGCTTTCGCCAGCTGAAAGGAAAGCACAGCTTGGCAACACGGCGGGATTACAGCTGTGGACCAGGGCAAGTCACGATCACCCCCTGCCGCTCACGGTAAGCCGGTCCCGGTACAGTGATTCACGGCTTACAGATCGCATCACACCAGCCGACACAGCCCGCATGAGCACGGCATAACGGACATCTCACAGCAACACACTGCTTCAGATTGAGAACACGCCACGTCAGACCGCAGCGCACCAGTAACAATACCATTCACGTTGCTACAACAGCCGCTAAAAGGAGATAACTACCATGACGTTTCCTTGAACAAATGACCTAAACCATGGAAAATTGGTTTAAACATCCTTTTACAGTGGCATAGGCTTCGACACGACTCGTTGGAGAGCCGACCATTGGCGCACGGCAGACTGACAGGCGCGGCGGCTTTCTCGCCGGCCGAGCCGCGGCGGCGTCCTTACCGCTTCACAGCGTCGAATGAGCCGCTAGCGAAGTCCACCACGCCGGAGGTGGGTCGCGTGAACAGGCCCACCATGCCCTTGCCCATGCCTTTGACGAAGCCGAGCGCGCCCTCCTCCTGTGCGCCCTCCAGCGGCTTCTTCACCACGCCGGTCACGCCGTCCACCACGCCCTGGCGCCGCCGACAGACACGGTTACGGCAGGGCGAGCGCTCGGGCGGCAGACGGCAGTCAGGGACAGGGGCAGGTCACACCGCGGGGGTGGTGAGCCAGGCGGCGGCACGCAGCAGCCCAGCTCGCGCCGTCACTCGACCCCAGCCGGCCGGCCTCGGAGGTCCCCCCAGGCGGGAACATCACTGCCCCAGACAGCTACGGCTCTCACAACTGGCGGGCCAGAGTCTTCCCCGAGCCCACCGCGATCGCTGCTGAGCTCACCATGAAGAGGCCGCGGCCGCTCTGGGCGATGCCGCTGGTGAAGTCGGTCGGACGCCGGTTCAGGGCCTCCCGGCGCCGCTGCTGGTAGTCCTCGTCCAGCGTCAGTGCTGCGATGCCCTTGCCTGCGAACAGAGCGCCGGCCCGGCCGCTACAATACAGCAGTCCGCGGGTGGCCACCGCGGCGCAGCGAGCGACACAGCAGACAGCGCTGCAACACGGGAGTCGACGCAGCACACAGCGCTGTAACATGGGAGCCGATACAGCGCACAGCGCTACAGCACGGGAGCCGATGCAGCACACAGCGCTACAACACCGGAGCCGACGCAGACTTCGGAGCGGCGCTAGCGTCGACATCGGGAGAGCCAGACATGGTCTAACATACTCGCTCGACACTCTGAAACATGACAAGGACGCGCGGTGTGTGGCAGACTGCTCATAGCTCTGCACCATCACCTGCCGCCGACCCGGCAGGCCCCGCGTCGACGCGGCTCTTTGCCGGCCCGGCGCCGCCGAGCCCGAGCCGGGGCCGCGGGCTAGACCCGGCCACCGAGCGGCCGTACCCAGAGTGCCGGTGATGCGCGAGACGGCGCCGGCCGTGCCGCCCACCGCGTGACTGAACAGGCTGGTGACGCCCAGCGCCAGACCCTCGGCGAACTCTCCCGGGCCCTGGATAGCGCCCTGCGGACACACGGACGGAAGCCGGTCATACCAGAGTCGGCCCATGTCAGGCAGCCGCGGAGACAGCACGCTGTGGCCGACCGCTGAACGGACTCAAAACGCACAAACGCTTAGACTTAACCACTGCTTGTTCCACACAAGACCTGCCACTTAGATACACACCGAGTGAATTATAAATACCAGCATGCCCTGCAATAAGAACACCCGGATCTCAGCGAACTATTTTTTAAACAAATTCGAGAGCGATCGCCTTGTTTCCAATAGCGTTGCTACTCTGCACACGAATCCATCATGCACAATGAACTGGATGACGCCCGCCCCCGTGGCGCCGCAGCCAGCCCGGCGTGCGGCGGCCGCGGCGCGGCGGCGGGTCGGGCCGCTCGCCCGGTCCGGCCGGCGCCCCGCACCTGGATCGGCTCGTAGAAGAGGTCCGACACGCCGTCGGTCAGGCCCACCACTAGGCCGAACGGGTTGCCGATCACGTCCAGGCCGAGCACCAGCACGTACAGCTGCTTCACCGCCTGGCCCGTGTAGTGGGCCACCACCTCGGAGGTGAGCTCCGACTGCGACAGGAACTGGTGCTCGCGCTCGAAGTACGCCAGCCTGTGGGCGCCGGCGCTCATCAGCCTACGGGCGCGCTGAGATCAGGTGAGGGGTAGTGGCGCCGGCGCGCGTGAGCCCGCTGGCGCGCTGAGATCAGGTGGGAGGTGCTGGCGCCGGCGCGCGTGAGCCCGCAGGCGCGCTGAGATCGGATGGAAGGTGCTGACGCCGGCGCGTGAGCCCGCGGGCGCGCTGAGATCAGATGGGCCTGAGATCAGATGGGAGGTGCTGTCCTCGGTGAGGCAGCCTTCTGAGCAGAGCCGCGAACTGATGGGTCATTGAGTTGGTTGTTCACGACTTTAGGATACGAAAAGTGGCGGCTATAATGACACGTCAGGACACCAACCTTCTAACACGTAACAATGATGCACAGGGCTTGAGATGCTTGACCCGACAACGCCACGTCTACGAAACGAAACATACGAGCAAGTAACTTAAAATACGTTCCGAAAAAGGGAAGAGTGTAGTTAAAACATCTGTTTGTTGATATGTATATATATATATATATATATATATATATATATATATATATATATATAGAATTGACTACCAATTAACTAGATGCACACGGGCATTTGCTGTCTGCGTAAAATTTGTGAAAAAGCTTTGTGGAAAATGTCTGGTCCCAATAACACAGCCAATTCGACAGCGCGAGTCAGAGCGAGCGGCTGAAAAAAAACGTCTCCTTTAAATAAGCTTTTGACGCTTGTTTCGAATTCGTAAGTGGCCAATGGACCGTCTGTCAAAGCGGTCAGATGTCAAAAACTCACATAAAACGACCCGGGTGAACCTATGCCATGAGGAGCATGCCACCTAGGACAGTTCTTGACGCCGACTGCAAATTTAATCAATGAAACAATTTCGAAAGATTTTGGCAGTTTTGACGTTCTAAAAACGCACATAAGGTCAGGCCTGACATGAGCACAAGTGGAGTTTTGCGTTGCATGAGGAGGCCCTATGGCACCTCCGGACATGGATCCCGAGTTCGACCTTGTTCGACCTTATTTGACCCGAAGGTCCCGATCTAAGGACATACAAACGTAACACCAATTAGGTCGCATGGATCCCTACCTACCATGCAGCTTCGGTGCGCCCAGCCCTTTTGACTGACCTTGAACACTCTTTTGACTGACCTTGAAAACGCCTTAGCTTACTTGAATTCTCTCCTGGCTTACTTGAACACGACGTCCTAGCTTACTTGAATTCTCCGCTGGCTTACTTGAACACGACGTCCTGGATCTCGGTGAGCGTGACGCCTACACTCTGCAGCAGCAGGTTGATGAAGCCGGACGTGATGGGGGGACTGCCGCCCGAGCTGGAGCTGGCGCCGCCCGTCATCGAGAAGCTCACGTGGATCTGGGGAACAACCGGAGGGTACCAGGAGAACGGACTCGCCTAAAACTAGGTGGGTGGGCGCCCAGTGAGTACCATTTTGGCATCCCGTTCGTCACCAGTATGCGCGAGGCGCTGCAAACAACGCGCAAGGCAAAGGAGCTGTTGGGGCCGGGTTTGCAGCCCGTGCCTAAAACACACTCCTTTAAAAAAGATCGGACGACGACTACAACGACACATCTAAGCTGCAACGTCTATCGACATTTTGTTAAACAGATTCCCTTTTCGTCGTTGCTCACCTTCAGCGGTGAGAAGTGGAGATTGTCGTAGAAGTTCCTCTGCTCCTGCAAGCTTCGGATGGCCACCTTCTTCGACAACTCCTCCGTTGCCACCTCCAGATCACTCTCCACCAGCTCTTTCTGCACCGACACAAGCCAACCGATTGGAAGACATCGACAGATGTGACACCGTTGTAGCTTGATGACACAGAAAGGCCACACACGAGCTGGTGTTCACACGAACCGAGCCTTCTACTGCAACAGTAAAACGGCTCCAACGACGCACCAAGGCTGCCGCGACACAAAACTTGCTTAAAATGAACCCCACACCACATCAACAACTGTACCCCGACGACTAGAAAGCGTCTCCGCCGCCGACCCCTCGCCGGCAGGAGATGGCCGTCCCCTCACCGTGTTCCTGTTCAGCTTGTCCACGCTGAGCGCGTCCACCAGTGCGTTGATGAAGCCTTGGTCCAACTTGACGTGGAACTCCTGCACCAGCATCTTGCAGTACTTGAACTGCTTGATGAAGGTGTGTTCGGCCAGCCGCTCCACCATCGACATCTCCACGAACGGCTTGGGCTCTGCGGCACGCGGGCCGCCGCGTCACGCCCCGCCGACAGTGACGTCACACGTCATACACCAGGTGACGCGGGCAGCCCGGTCGAGGTAGGGTCCGGCCCACAGCCTTCCCGAATACTACAGCACACAAGGCAGGCTGCGATGTATTATGATCATCGTATCACAGAACACAGGGTGTGACGTTTCTATGCAGAAACCTCTGCGACCAAATCACCAGCCAGGTGTCCCCAGCACTGTCAACGTAGATCCCACGACACCCCTCAGCACTGTTAAAAACCCAGCCCACCCCTCACCGCCCTCAGCAGTGGATTCCTGACCGTCTGCCATCCTCATCGACAGCGTACATCCGACCGCCCTCCACCCATCAACAGTGAACTCTCGACTGTCCTTCACCCTGCCAGCAAGACTCCTGATCATCCCTCGCCGCCCTCAACAGTGGACTCCAGCCCACCCCTCACCGACCTGAGCAGTGGACTCCTGACCGTCTGCCATCCTCATCAACAGCGCAAATCCGACCGCCCTCACCCCGTCAACAGTGAACTCTTGACTGTCCCTCACCTTGCCAGCAAGACTCCTGATCATCCCTCACCGCCCTCGACAGTGGACTCCTGACCACCCTTCACCCCGTCAACAGTGGACCCCTGCCACAGTTCACCCCAGTAACAGTGGATTCCTGACCATACTCAACCCCCGTCAACCGTGGACTCCTGACCATTCTTCACCCCAGTAACAGTGGACTCCTGACCATACTAAACCCCCGTCAACCGTGGAATCCTGCCCGCCGCTCACCATTGTCGGCCGCCACGGACTTGGGCGGCGGCACGGGCGCCAGCACTACAGGGAAGACCGAGTCGAGCAGCTGGTTGTCCACCTGCAGCCGGTTCAGCTTGGCGTGCAGCTGGCGCTGGTGGGTGCTGGTGCGCAGCTGCAGCCACAAGCCGCTCTGGAACGTCCTCCGCAGGAAGCGTCGGTTCGGTTGCAGCATCTGCATGATGCTGAAGTCCACCTGGCGGAGCGGGAGAATGGGGAGCAGGGTCAGGCGGCCGCGTGCCGGGACGGTCGGCCGCTCAGACGGGCGCGGCACGGACACGGCGGCGCCACGCGGCTGGCCGCTTAGGCGGGCGCGGCACGGACACGGCGGCGCCACGCGGCTGGCCGCTTGGACGGGGCGCGGCACGGACACGGCGACGCCACACGGCTGGCCGCTCGGGCGGGCGCGGCACGGACACGGCGACACCACACGGCTGGCCGCTCGGGCGGGCGCGGCGCCGCCACACGGCCGGTGGTGACTGCAGCTCTGGCGGCGGGCGTCAGCGGCCAGCTGGCAACAGCCGGCCACACACGAGCCCGGACCGCCGGCAGCAGCGGCCCTCAGACCTCAGATCGCCGCCAGTTGACTACGTCTCGTGCCGGCGTGTCTGTTGATGACGCGCCGCATCCTGCCCGGCATGACGGTGGCCGGTCTGCGCGGACGGAGGACCGGCTCCTCTCACCCGCTCACTCGACCCTATCCGTACTATGACGTCAACACTAGCACAAAGCCATCACATTGCCTAACTCTGGACGCGGATCGCCGGGGCACGTGTAAAATCCCGCCGGCCTTGTGGCATGCACATCCGCGCACCTGACCACGAATCCGACCTCGGAGCGCTCACCTCCATCTTGTTGTCGAGCACGACGCGCGGCTGAGGGTTGCCGCCCACCTGCACCTGGTTCATGAAGTTCTGGTGCGCCCGTTCCAGGATCGAGCACTGCAGACTCGTCATGGCTCGGTAGCGTTTGTGCAACGCCTTCTGCGTCTCCCACACCACACCGGAGCTGCACCGGAGCCAGAAGGTGCCTCAATGATTTGTACGTCAACCATGCGCACAAGTCCGCAATATTGTACCATACATCGCCAAATCGTATACATAGGGCTGCAGGACGCTAAGCTCGACGAATGCATAAGATGCTAAACAGGTATGGTCGAAACACAAAGCCTAATGCTAAGATCTCCACGGCAATCATACTATTTGAGTGGCGTATAGCAAGCTAACCAGCCAGTTGAGCCGACCAGAAAGTCGGAGGGTTGAGTGACGTGCTTCCTGCTCGCCAGCAGACCCACCTGGTGATGCCCATGTACATGACGTCCGTCTGCGAGACGTTGTTGACCAGCGAGAGCCCCACGCCCTCGATGCTGACGGTGATCTCCTGATCGATCCTCTCCAGCTCCACTGCGGGCCGGCCGGCGCGGCGTCAGTGCGAGAGTCGGTCCCCGGCGCGGTCCGCGCGTCGCGCGCGCGCGCACGCACGCACGCACGCACGCACGCACGCACGCACGCACGCACGCACGCACGCACGCACACACGCACGCACACACACACACACACACACACCACACACACACACACACACACACACACACACACACACACACACACACCCACACACACACACACACACACACACACACACACACACCCAACCACACACACACACACACACACCACACATAGCACGCGGCTGGCCGCTCCAGACAGGACACAGGCGCTGGCGACTGAGCTCATCCCGCCCAGCTTCGGTTACAGGCTTCCAGCTGCGTTTGACCGACACACCTAATATCCAATCACGCGTCCAGATCATGCCGGCATGGCTCAGAAAGTCATTGCTCGCCACGAGTAACACGGAACGTGCTAACTGACTGGGACAGATTCCAAGCAAAGCGAGCCTCAGCGATTTGAACAGACATTGCATACCGCTGACAGCAGTAAGACAGCTGAAAGTAAAGAAAATTGCGCAACGACTGAGACGGACGGAACCTGCGTGAAGAATGACGGCAGTGAAAACCACTGAGGCTTGTGGAATGACGACACTGCGCGGAACCGAGCGACCTGCCCACCTAATCTGGGAGCACCACTGCCGTTGATCGTCCGGCACAGCTTGACGCCTAGGCTTCAGCTGGTGACCCAGCACAACAGTGCCCGGGCCCCTGTCGCGCAGGTCGTCCGGCGTTGTGCGCCTGCGTGGCGACGACCACGTCCGTCGTGAACATCAGCGTGCGCTGCATGCCGTCCAGGAAGCTGACCCAGTACAGCAGGTTGCCGTCCTTGCCCTCAAACTGGCCGATGCCATCCTGCGGGGCGCAGAGCGGCGTCAGCGGACGCTACGCTGGGACGCTGCGCTGGGACGCTGCGCTGGGACGCTGCGCTGGCACGCTGCGCTGGCACGCTGGCAGCCTGACTCCCCTCCCTCCCCCCCCCCCCCCCGCCACGTGTGCTGAGCGACGAGGGTGAAGCGGTGCGCAGCAGAACATCCTGTCCGATGGGGACGGGGGAGTCGCGGGCTGAGCACAGGGACTTCAATCGAAACAGCAGCCACGCGGCCAACCCAAGCAAGCCACGCCAAGTAGCAGTGGAAGTAAAGGTGCGCGTGGGTGCATCCCGCAACAAAATAACACGGTCTGTCCAGGCAACCACAGCTGATGTCGATCTGCTGACGCTGATGCGGATATTAGCTGATCAGCAGCTGATGTCAGTTGATCATCAGATCTGTATCTGCCCTGCCCGACGCCTCTGATACGTTGGCAGCCATCCGAAGCGGAGTGTCCGTGACCGGCGGCTGGCCGCGACGGCTGGCTGCGGCGGCCGACACCGGCTGCGGCGCGCGCAGCCCGCCGCCCGCCCTCACCTTGACCAGCGTGTCGAGCCGCTCCTTGACCTTGCCGCAGCTCCAGGAGAGCTGCCGCTCGCTGGCCGGCCGCTGCCACGTGTACAGCCGCACCTCTCCTGGCTTCAGCACGCTGAGGGGGTCGCCACACGTGACTGTCAGCGGCCGACCGGGTACCACAGGGCCGACCGGTCGGAGGACGCAGCGGGCGTACGCTCGGTCGCAGCAGGCGCGCGCCACAGCTGCAGACTACCGTCAGATGGTGCTCCGGCAAACAACACAGCATCGCAACAGGGCCGAGCTCGAATGACTTGATGATGTAGTTGCCAGTTCAGTTTCGAATGGTTATGATATTTGGCTTTTCACATCACGGTATTTTTTGTTTTTGCCTACGAACCTGCAAACCGAGCAAACCTCCGACAATAGTCGAGGCTAGCCGGATGCTCTGCACCGTGTCCAGTGCTGACGACGGTTGGGTATTCCGGCTTACTTGGCGCGTGCGTTAGGCGATGTCATGACGTTCGCAAGCAGTGAATATTGACCCTGGCAAGGTCAAAGTACCAGCACAGCAGTCCTGCCATTGCCCACGGACGAACGCCCATCGTCGGCGCCAGCTTCAGCCATCAAACACGGCCGCAGATGTCCCATGCACCCCGCATGACGAGGACGGCTGGACCGATGACAGCTGGCGGTGCATGCTTACTGACAACGTCACGAGAGCGCTTACGGGACAGAAGCGCGTCCATCCCAGAGCCGTCTCCCGACGCCGAAACGAACCGCCGACACAGGAGCCGCACGCCCATCGACCGATGGACGGCCGCAGCGCGGGGAGACCGAGACAGAGAAGCACATACCACCCCAGAAGCGTCGACACGGAAGAGAAACAAAAGAGCAGAGCGGCACGCCATAACGGCCAAACATCCCGCACCACCGAACCCGAGTCAGGAGTCACGGATGGGAGCAGGGTGCGGACGACGAGGGCAGAGAGGCACGTCCCGCGCCGACGCTCCGGCCCGGAGCCAGCACGGAGAAGCAGACCACCGCGGCCGCCCTGGACTCCACCAGCGGCAGGACCGCCGCACACGTGGCGACCCAGGCGGAGCACGACACACAGAGGCGCCGGTCCGCGTCCGGCCCCGGGCGCCCAGACACGCGCCGCGGCCGCCCCTCCGCCAGCTACCGCTCGTCGGGGTGAGCCGCGCCGGCCAGCGCCATCCGGTGTCGCATCCGCTCCACTTCTCGCCCGATCAGCGACCCGGTGCGCACGGCCGTCGCCGCCGCCTTCCACCGTCCGGTCCCGCTCTGCCGGCCGGCGTCGGGGGCGCCCTCGCCGGCGCCGGTGACGCTGGCGAGCGTCGGTCAGTGCGGCGTCCCGGCGGGGCGGGCGGGACCGACGCCCGCTGCAGCCGTGTCGCCGTGTCGCCCACGATTCAGCGCGTTGAGTGCTAGCCGGGCCGCGAGCGTGGTCCAAGACACTACCGTGGCCCGCATTGCCGCTTACCCGCAGGCGATGCTCGCCCCCATTGTGAGAGAACCGCAACCGAGCATATCAAGCGAGACGCCCGGCCGGTTCGAGAACGAAGTCATCCCTGCGCGCAACGACCACGCGTTTGCAAGCTGGCCAAAGCGGCGTCGAACAGACAGACACTGAGCTGTCTGATATCATACACGATACCCGAAAAGGGACAACATAGATCGACTGACCCAGTGCGATCCTCCCGAGTTTCCCGCATCACTTGATGCTGGCCCCCCCCCCCCCTTCTCTACCCCCGCCCACGCACCGTTGCCGGAGGCTGCTCACCTGTGCGGCTCGAAGCGTTTCTGGTGGTAGGCGACCTCCTCGTTGTCGGTGTTGTTGATGAGGCGGACGGCGGCCATGCCGTCGACGTAGTCGTCCAGAGTGATGATGGTGGAGGCCTCGGACACCTGCACGCTCATGCTGATGCCACCGTACTGCGACGGCGGACGGACACGGCTCATCAGGCGACCGAAAACCGAGACGGCACCTCCGGCCAGCAGAGATACGACTCAATCACGACACACGGGGAACGAGAGGTGACGCATGTCCGAGACAGCGGTCCGGTGATGGGGAGGCTGCCGACACGGGGGCTGTATAGCATACGCCGCATCCGTTTGTTTCGGACGTCTGTCGACACAAATATGTGCCTCTTCACCTCCACACACAATGCTATGCCAGCCGCCAGCGCCATTATCCCCAGACCGACCTCATTTCGCCCGACCGGAGAGCGAGTCACTCACAGTGTTGCTCAGGTGGAGCAGGCAAGTGTTGGTGCTCTTGTAGGAGAAGTACGTGGTCTCCTCGCTGGTGTCGGCCACGCGGCAGCGCAGCTCCTTCGCCCTGTCGCGCGGCCAGAACGGCTGCGACGTGTCTGCGGCGGCAGGCCAGCACGCTCAGCGTCTGCTGACGGCTGCAGCTGAACGGCTCGCAGCGCTCTGGGCGAGGCTAAGGAAGGATAGCTGGACGGCTGCGCTACGTCGCTGGTAGGAAAATAAAAGGTGATGACTCTTATTGGCGGCGATGCTTTTTCGTTTTGTTTTCTTGCGCCCAATACAAGTATCTACTTGTCACCCAGGCACGAGAATAACGCGCAGCCCAGCTTTGATCCTGACTTGCAGTTCTCGGTGAGTCTAATAGACATGTTCGGCCACAAAAGATGGCAACTTCTATCACATTCGCACGGCGATCGCCACGGCAGAACACGACCGGGCACACACTCAGTGGCTGTGACATGCCATCCACACCCCAGAGCAGCACCGCATCTTCACGGCCCTCCGACTCCACCACGGCGACCACCCCGGCGCGGCTCATCGCACCACCCGCCCAGCCCCGCCGCGGGAGGAGAGGGGATACTGACTGGCGGGCACGGTGATCCAATCCTCCTCGGGCGCCGGCTCGTGCACCTGGATGGCGAACGGCGCGCTGTTGGCCAGCACCACGCTCGGCAGCAGGTACACCTGGCGCGTCAGGCCCGACTGGCTCAGCTGGATCTGGACGCTGATCTGCCGGACATGCGGGGGCGGCGTCAGCGCGCGGTCCCCGTCCGGGAGTGCCGCGGCCACAACAGCGACACGGACGACACCGGCGGACGGCGCCAGAGCGCAGCCAGTCCCTGTACCCGGCCGCCGACCCGCTGCCCCCCGCACGGCAAAGGAACGAGCACAGGCGCGAAAAGAGCAACAAGGGGCGCCCAGGCCTCCTGACGGTAGTCGCCTGCACCCATCTTACCCCGTATGACGCTGCACACACACAGCGCCGTCCCGAGGGGCCTCACGCGGCCCGATCTCGGCGGCGCCCGCGCCTGCGTCAGGAGCGTACACTCAGCTGGGTGCGGCCCCGAGCGCGCGCGTTGGCCGACCGGCGCCAGAAGGAGGCCGACGAGATGCTGCGCAACCGGCCGGACGACGCCCGGGAGTGCGCGCTGGCCGCCGAGCGGCGGGACGGCGCCGACGACGGGCCCGGCCGCTGCCGGCGACGGCGAGGGCGGCACGGGCGGCACCGGTCAGGACAGGCCGCACGAGGACGCCGGTCACGTGGGTCAGGTGGAGCACGTCAGGTCAGGCTAGGCGAGGCCAGGGCAGACAACCGGACGCACCGGGATGAGCTGTGTGAGGCCAGGACAGAAGCTCACAAGCCGCCGGTGCACTGGCACGGAGAGGACAGGAACGGCCAGCGGGCCGCGAGAGCCGGGACCGGTGGTGGCTGACTCACCTCACAGCCCCAGCCGTGGCTGGCGCCGGTGGTCCACTCACCCCGTAGTCCCAGTTGTGGGTGGCGCAGGTGACGGTGCCGCCGCTGCCAACCGTGTCCAGCGAGAACTTGTCCGACCACTCGGAGTCCTCCACGCGCACCGCCGCCTTCTTCTTGGAGAAGAACGAGCTCGGCTTGAAGGAGAACAGCACCGGCTCCAGGAAGGTCTCCGGGTGGTAGATCAGGTTGGATGTTTCGTTGACAGACTGCGGGCACGCGCCGACACGCACCGGTTACGGCCGCACTGGGAAGAGGCGGCGCACGCCCCTGACCGGCCTACCAACCGGCGGCGCCGCCGAGTGTACTGCCGTCAGTGCCACATTTTCACACCGACATGCCCTTTTTCAAACTTAACCTTAGCTGTTTTGTTGACCCGTGCGTTTCGCGCACGAGTATGTAGGGTTTGGCTAGCGGACGCCAAACGGACATCAGTGTCCGATCAAATCATGTCCTATATTGTCGAGGGTTCGCAAAATCAGTCACATTGCAAGCACGCTTGCAACGCTGATTGGTCTTCTGCTTTGCATTCCTTCGCACCCCTTCGTATCTCCCCACTAAAAAACATTGGTGGGCGACTGCGACTACGTTTAACCACGCGCCGGCTACAGCATCACGTTCCAAGCGGTTCGCATAATACGACGCCAGGTGCTCTTACGTCAGAAGCATGTGAGCAAGGGTATATAGAACTGAAACCATATAGAAAAATAGCTGTGCGTGTAGTATGTGCTCGCGTCTTTCTTCTAGCCTCCGTGGTGGGAGGGAGAGAGCAGCTAACTGTGGGCGTGACAACGAGGCCAGCCAGGCCACCGGTGCTTGAAGCGGAGATAGGCGGTTTAGATTATTCAGCCACGTAAACGCTCATAAATAATGCACGAATAAGCATTTGTGTACACGCGGAATCACGCAAATTGGCACAACAAAGGCGGAGCAAAAAATAAAAAAGCAACCAAGGGCCACGTATGGCAATAATACGCACTCATGTTCCGATCCACGTCACAAATCTGGTCTGAGATAATATTTGTGGTCCATGACCAGCGAAGCGCAACCGAAGAACGATGTTCAATTAAAAAATGCACTGATACAAGTGCAGTTACTGGGTCCTCCCGCAGGCAAGGCGGGCGTAGTGAACTTACAGGCATAAATTTCAACATTTATAAAATCCCAGCACCTCTTCTTGGCCAAGACTCTTCAGTTTCCGGGCATTTCAGAACTAGAGACACAAACTAAAAATACCCCTCTGCTCTTCATAGTGCACGATTCAGGATGCTACCAGACTATCATAGTACACGCCAGGTTCTCTTTCTGCTTACACATTTGAGCCCGAAAAAGAAATAAGCCGAGTTCACATCTGCAGAATCGACGGTACCATCACCGACCACGCACGTAAATCTAAACCCGCCACCGAACATTCTATGAGCTTACCAAAATGATGCAGTCATGCCATCTACTCGCATGCGCGAGATGAACGTCAACGGATGTAACCACCTCTATAACACCGACGAAAGAAAACACCAAACCGGCGTGCACATTCGGAATACCAGCGTGCCCACAGCCCGAACATCATACGAGCCCTGCACCACCGAACGGATGGAACCAAACCGACCCCGCCCCCGCGTCCGGCCTCACACTCGTCACGGGGAGGCGGCCGTCCGGCGCCCCCCCACTTACGTGTACCTCATCGAGACAATTCTGAAAACAGCACACAGGCCACCGTCAGAGGGCTCGTACCACGGAGCTGCGGGGCTGGGCGGGGGGTCGCGGCGCGCCACAGCACAACACATCTAGCAAGAGGTCGGCGTTACTTGGCATTGCGGCCAGCAGGGCCGGGTACGGCCGCCACTTGAGCAGGTGCGACCGCGTCACCTGGATCACAGCGGCGGCGCCGTCAGAACAGCGGCGCGCTCGCGTCGGCCGCTCTCTCCCGGCCCGGCCCGCGGCTGCCGCCCGAGAGCCGGCCTCCTCGGCTCGGCCCTCGGCTCCCGCCCGAGAGCCGGCCTCCTCGGCTCGGCCCTCGGCTCCCGCCTGAAGGCCGCCCTCTCCTCGCTCCGGCCCTCGGCTCCCGCCTGAAGGCCGCCCTCCTGCGGCCCGGTTCTCGGCTCTCGCCCGGGGGGCGGGCCGCAGCAGGCGCGTGTGGTGGAGGCGTCCAAAGGTGTGGGCGCGAAAAGGGACAGTGTATGTGTGTGTCGGGGGGCTGGGGTTAACAGATACATACACCTCAGGAGTTCGATGATTCACCGATGACGCTGTGACATCGCGGACCTTCGGCGTTCTTCAGGCACTTGATCGTCATCAGCGGGGCCCATCGGTGTGCGACAAGACCAAGGACCCATTGGTGCGCGAAAAGCCCAACTTTACCGCTCTCTGCCTGTCTGCCATTTAGGGTGACGAGAGCAAGCCGTGGCGTCGTGGCCAGGTAACGCCTGGTCCTGCCCTCACCAGATTCTGATCGACAAACGGGGCGCGGATGGGCGCAAAATGACTATCGTAGCCGGCTCGTCCTAACACTAAAACCGTCCTCATCTCCATCAAAGCGGGGCACGGTCCACTATGCATGACGAACTTGCAGGCTCCGCCGCGAGCGAGGCCGTGTGACCTCTCTAATCTCAATCTCAATCTCTAATCTCTCGCACCTCTCTAATCTCAATGAACGTGACGTGCGAAGTGGAACTCACGGACCGAAACCAATTTGTCTCAGATGGTAAAACAACTCAACATATCCTAATACAAGTTGTGTCAGCAATGATACGAATGACGATGAGCCAACGATTAGGGCCAGCCAAGTCCTGCTGGCATACGGAAAGGAAAACCGGTCACAAACATTCGTCCACTTCCATAACTTATAATCATGCCTTAAAATGTGAAGAGCATTCAAAGGCATTGCAAAACTTTTAAGGGAGGTCAAACGAGGAATATTAATGACATTGACACTTGAAGTCTATTAGTTTCAGCCCAAACAAGTCATTCTCGTCAAATAAATGCTTGCGCCGGGAAGCTTGGCAGTGGAATACAAAACAACAAACATCGGTACGACTTTTGAAAACCTTGCAATTCGTCAGCTCCCAAAACAAGACTGCCCCGGGCAGTAGGCGGCCGCCAGACCACCACGCCGCCGCCGGGGTGCCTCGGCAGCCTCCGATGCCTGGACAGCCGGCTCTGGCGTTCCGTGGCCGCCGGCCTGATGTGATCAGCTGGGACGCCACACACCACACACCGCTGCTGCTGTCGCCGCCGGCGCCGGCACGGACAGCTCACGGTCAGGCACGCGCGGGTCAGTCGGCGCGTCGGGACGGACGGGGTGGCGGGACGGACTGGGGCTGCTGACCAGCAGGCGGGGGCCCGCCTCGAGCCGACTCACCGGCGCCTCTCGTGGCCGCACCACCGACAGGGAGGAGGCCCACCTCTGCTACCGGCCGGCCGTGAGCGGACCCGCCCCGACCGACGGACCACTGCCGCAGCCGCCCCGCAGCGGCAGCCTCGCACATGCAGGCCGGTAACAGGCCACACGCCGCTGACGAACGGCCTTGCAAATACTGAAGTGGCGCTCATGATTCATAGCGGAGCAAAACAATAAGGAACAAAATTACGAGCTAATTTGGGCATTCACGAGCAGACCATGCTTATCTACAAGATGTGAGCATAACAGTTGAGTAAATTATTCACAGAAGCTGCGTTAATTCTGCTACCTGCATGGATTTTAAAGCCCCCGGTTCTGTCTTCGTAACTTGACGCTGTTTGCTATGACGCTGGAATTCATTGGCAGCATTAGGGGCTTTTCACGTTCAGCCATCTCACACATCCATCGACGAGAAATATACCGTGAAATCACCTCCAATGAATCTTATGTCTTCACCAAAATAAAAGGAATGCTGTCATGGCCGGCTGCCACAGACAAACCGCTGAAGGTCTGAACATTTCCGCACAATAACGAACACCAATCAAAAGCACGAGGGTAACCACCGGCGACGCTCGATCTCCCCAGCCGCGGTCACTACCCCCGGCTGACCAAACACGGGCGACGCCTCCCAGAAGCGGCACCGAAACGTGACGCGCGTCCTCAGCGTCCAGCGGCATGTCAGGCCGACGCTGGCCCCCCATCCGCCGTCCTCACAGCTCACCTTGTAGGTGAGCATCTTGCCGGTGCGGTTGATCATCCAGAAGGGGGCGTAGAGCGACATCAGCTGCGAGCCACACACGGTGCGCGTGTGCATGCCCAGGCTGAGGTCGGTCTGGTAGTCTCCGTCGGCCGACAGGAACGTCCACACCGTCAGCTCGTCCGGCTCGGCCTCCAGCTGCTTGCTGCACGACCAGCGCCGGTCCAGGTAGCTGAGCAGCTGAGGGAGAGGGAGGGGGAGGTGCCAGTGTGTTGTCGGCTCTGGTCATCTGCACCCACTCGCTCCTGTGCCAGGAAGACGGCCAGGTTATGAGCCAGCTAGAAGGCGGTGGCGCACGGCGTCTGCCCACCTCGGCACATCGGTCAGATCCAGACATCTCACCACCACGCAGGCACGCCTCGCAGGCCTTCAGGCCGACGGCGCAACGGCAGCGCCACCCCCACCCCTCCCCTGTCACCCTAGCGGTCCAACCCTGATAACCGCGCCCCCTCCTGACCCGGCACCGGCGCAGTGGGCCGGCGCCGCGCCCTGTCAGCAGCGAGCCCAGGCGTCGCGTCTGACCGGGAGCGCTGCTCCGCCGCCTGGCAGACCAGCGCACCCCCGGCCGGCCCGTCTTCAGCCTCTCCCCGCGCGGCGCGTCTGACCGGGAGCGCTGCTCCACCGCCCGGCTGACCAGCGCACCCCCGCCCGGCCTGTCTTCAGCCTCTCCCCGCGCGGCGCCCGCTAGCCGGCGGCCCGCGCCACCCCGCCGCTAACCTGGAGCGCGACCCGGTCGCCGGTCTGCGCCGTCGGCATCTGACACGAGCCGCCCGGCTCCAGCGTGACCGGCTCCAGGTCGCCGGGCCGCAGGTAGGTCAGCGCCACCGGCAGCAGGTTGCTGAGCACGGCCGGCGGCCGCAGGTGCACCCGGTACGTCCGGCTGGCCAGCGTCTTGGCGCGCGACGTCTCGAACAGCACCGGCTTCATCTCGCCGTGACACTGCCGGCGGACGGGTCGGCGGTCAGCGCGGAGGTCGGGCCGCCGGGCCGCGGTGCGGCGTTCGGACCGCGTGGCCTGGCCCGGCGGAGAGTCAGACGTTTGGCCGGCCGGCTGTCACCCCCGGGACCGAGCGACAGTTCAGCGCACCAGCGGCAGATGACGGAAAGACTACGTGATGACACGTATGAGACTATTCGCACGGACTGATCTGTAGTGTTCCGCTTGCAAGAGTACCGAAGCCAAGAAAATTCAACGTAAACGACGGCTGGTAGTCAGTGCGTGGCCCTTCCCCTCTCCCACCCGGCGTCGCGCCACTGACCAGCATGCAGAAGGGCTGGCCGGGCTGGCCGCTCTTGCTGTCGCACTTGAGCGTCATCGTCAGGTCGGGGTTCTTCTGCAGGTCACGCCAGACAAACGGCAGCAGGGACACCGTGTACCTGCGGCGGACCGACCGACATCGTCACCGTCCACTGGGAGGCGCCGGCAGGGTGCAGCGAGCCCAGAGGAGCCCTCAGTGGTCAGGCAAGCGAACTTGGCCCACCCCAGCTTGTGCCCTCCGTCCTCACCACCTCTTCTCCCGGCCATTTCCGCCGCCTGTGCTCTGGCGCCGCCTCAGCCGGCCGACAGTCTGCCCCGCTCAGTCGCCCCGCCGCTGCTCGGCGGCCCCCGCTCACCCGTCCACGCCGAAGAAGAGCTCGGCCGTACTGCTGTAGACGGCCGAGAGCGGCAGCGGCAGCATGCCGTCCGGCTCGGCCACGCCCACACACTGCAGCTCGTTGCCGCCGCTGTTCATGTAGTACACCTTGACGGGCACGCTCTGGTGGTTCTCCACCTGGCGGTGCGGGGCGGAGGCGGTGTCGCGTGGGTTCGGCTCAGAACGGCCGCCGACCACGCTCTGACGGCGATCGTCCTCACAAGCTAACACAGAGCACGGCGGACACACGAGAACGGAAACGTGCTCAGGGATCATCTTTTTTAATATGGAAAAGCAGATTTCTGATAAGATGAAGGCTCCCGCGAGGCGAGCCTGCAGCTTCAAAAGATGCTCCACTTGGCTTCGATACTTACAACTGGGAGACTCTCAAAACATATGTTTCATAGTTTGTGAGACGTCATAAAACAAACAATAGGGCGACTTTATCGACTCAAGAGCGTCTGCGTCTGAAAAAGGAATGTTTTTACCGAGCTAAGGTACTACCTTCCCTGATAGGCAGAAACTTACCCGTCATTTTTGATGCCGTCTAAGAGGTGGCTGGCAACAGAGTCCAATGAGCCACGTATAACCTGCCTTATCCCCAGACACCGACGCCATTGCCCTTCTGGTACTTGAGTAGAGCTACGACCACAGTACACATTTCCGCCTGCCCACCACATACATTGCTGCGCGCCCGGCTGGTCCCGCCCGGCGCCCGACCCGGCCAGGACCGGGCCACCGTCTGCCGCCCCACCTGTACACAGCTACGCAGCGTCACGATCTTGGAGTCAAAGTGGGCGCGTATGTCGGCGACCAGGCCGCACTCGGCGCCGTCCGGCCGCCGCCGCGCCACCCGGAAGAAGCGACTCTCAGCCCGCGTCACGGGAACGTCGGCGCTCCAGCCCAGGGACGGCACCTGGGGACGGGGCAGGGGATCTGTCACGTGTGACACTCCAGCCCAGGACGGCAGCTGGGATGGGGCAGGGGATTTTCAGTCAACGTGCTGACACTCCAGCCCAGGGACGGCACCTGGGGACGGGGCAGGGGATCTGTCACGTGCTGACACTCCAGCCCAGGGACGGCACCTGGGGACGGGGCAGGGGATCTCAGTAACGTTGCTGACACTCCAGCCCAGGTACGGCTCCTGAGGAGGGGGGCACGGAGATGTGTCAGTAACGTGCTGACGCTCCAGCCCAGGGACGGCAGCTGGGGACGGGGCAGGGGATCTCAGTAACGTGCTGACACTCCAGCCCAGGTTACGGTTCCTGAGGAGGGGAGCAAGAGATGTCAGTCACGTGCTGACACTCCAGCCCAGGGACGGCACCTGGGGACGGGGCAGGAGATGTCAGTAACGTGCTGACACTCAAGCCCAGAGACGGCACCTGGAGAGGGGGCAGGAGATAATCCAGGGAGGCGCGAGTGCGGCCGCCTGTGTGACCGCCGACAGGGCCAGCTCGGGGAGCGGTGGCGGCGCACACGGCAGCTGGCTCACCTTGATGTGGATGGTTCTGTTCGAGTCCAGCGCTGTCGACGTGCCCGGCCGCTGCAGCGAGGACAGGTCACGCGCCATCAGCGGTACTTCAGCGCCCTGCTCCAGCACCACCTCCTCGATGTCGGAGCCGTGAACCTGCAACCAACAGGCGTTGTGGTTATCAATGGCTACCGATCTCACCGTAAAAACTGTATTTTTAGCTGAAATGCGAAGACGGATTTGAAAGATAATCACATAAGTAGAGCATTACGAATCGCAGAAAGAACTGGAAAGCATCAGTAACCAGCGTTCTCTTCTGCGTACTTAATTGGCTTATAGCCTTTATAAACATGTGTAGATCTAATGCAAAACAAATACGTCATTAATAAGAAAATGGACGTCATGCTGTCTGCCTTTCATGGGCAAATCTCGAACGAACTAATCTTGGACATTAGTGTGTTGGGCATCCATAACATAAGCCCGGCGATCCCAATCCAAAGTATGCAGGGTCACCGGGCAGCCACGATCGTCCCACATAGCTGACGAGATTCCGTGCAGCACAGACCGCACAGGCACACGCGCGACAAGGAACTTGGCATCATTGCAAAAGACCACCGTCGACGAATATGACGGGCCTTCTTTCGTCACAAATGCACGGTGATGATCCAGTGATCTTTGACACGCAAGGGAATGGTGACACGGCAGAGTCATTGAGGCATGGAAACTGCCTGTGTCTAGTGTCATCATCCATCACCACGGTGGAAGCATTATCAGGTACCCTCCTGTGTCACAGCCCGAATAAGAAACCTTCCCAGTCAGTGCCACATCTTTCCAATGGAAAATATCCTGACATCGCAGGCCAAATCATACAGTTCCTGAACACAGGTTTTTACAAAGCGTTAACGCTCCAACACGTGGGTAGGCAGCGTCCGGAGAAATGGTGCCGCACTTTCAATAAGCGCCCCATCACACTGGCTGGGCAGCAGCGACCCTCGACCGTGGGGCTGCCGATCGTGGTACCCCTGTCCCCTCCCGACGGTGCGGGTTAACTGGTACCGTCCCGTGTACCCCTGTCCCCTCCCGACCGGTGCGGGTAACTGCGTACCGTCCGTGTACCCCTGTCCCCTCCCGACCGGTGCGGGTAACTGCGTACCGTTCCCGTGTACCCCTGTCCCCTCTCCGACCGGTGCGGGTAACTGGACCGTCCGTGTACCCTGTCCTCTCCCGACCGGTGAGGATAAAATGCGTCCCGTCCGGTACCCTGTCCCCTCCCGACCGGTGCGGGGTAACTGCGTACCGTCCGTGGTACCCCCATGTCCCTCTCCCGACCGGTGCGGATAACTGCGTCCGTCCCGTGTACCCTGTCCTCTCCGACCGGTGCGGATAACTGCGTACCGTCCCGTGTACCCCTGTCTCCTCCCGACCGGTGCGGGTAACTGCGTACCGTCCCGTGTACCCCTGTCCCCTCCCGACCGGTGCGGGTAACTGCGTACCGTCCCGTGTCCCCTGTCCTCTCCCGACCGGTGCGGATAACTGCGTACCGTCCCGTGTACCCCTGTCCCCTCCCGACCGGTGCGGGTAACTGCGTACCGTTCCGTGTACCCCTGTCCTCTCCGACCGGTGCGGATAACTGCGTACCGTTCCGTGTACCCCTGTCCTCCCGACCGGTGCGGTAACTGCGTACCGTCCCGTGTACCCCTGTCCTCTCCCGACCGGTGCGGATAACTGCGTACCGTCCCGTGTACCCCTGTCCTCTCCGACCGGTGCGGATAAATGCGTACCGTCCCGTGTACCCCTGTCCTCTCCCGACCGGTGCGGATAACTGCGTACCGTCCCGTGTACCCCTGTCCTCTCCCGACCGGTGCGGATAACTGCGTACCGTCCCGTGTACCCCTGTCCTCTCCCGACCGGTGCGGATAACTGCGTACGTCCCGTGTACCCTGTCCTCTCCCGACCGGTGCGGATAACTGCGTACCGTTCCGTGTACCCCTGTCCTCCCGACCGGTGCGGATAACTGCGTACCGTCCCGTGTACCCCTGTCCTCTCCCGACCGGGCGGGTAACTGCGTACCGTCCCGTGTACCCCTGTCCCCTCCCGACCGGTGCGGATAACTGCGTACCGTTCCGTGTACCCTGTCCTCTCCCGACCGGTGCGGATAACTGCGTACCGTTCCGTGTACCCCTGTCCCCTCCCGACCGGTGCGGATAACTGCGTACCGTTCCGTGTACCCTGTCCTCTCCCGACCGGTGCGGATAACTGCGTACCGTTCCGTGTACCCTGTCCCCTCCCGACCGGTGCGGATAACTGCGTAGCGTTCCGTGTACCCCTGTCCCCTCCCGACCGGTGCGGATAACTGCGTTACCGTTCCGTGTACCCTGTCCTCTCCCCGACCGGTGCGGATAACTGCGTACCGTTCCGTGTACCCCCTGTCCCCTCCCGACCGGTGAGGATAACTGCGTTTAGCTGTTTCCGTGTACCCCTGTCCCCTCCCGACCGGTGCGGATCACCACGTACCCGTCCCGTGTACCCCTGTCCTCTCCCGACCGGTGCGGGTAACTGCGTACCGTCCCGTGTACCCCTGTCCTCTCCCGCCCGGTGCGGGTAACTGAGTAGCGTTCCGTGTACCCCTGTCCTCTCCCGACCGCGTGCGGGTAACTGCGTACCGTCCGTGTACCCATGTCCTCTCCCGACCGGTGCGGGTAACTGCGTACAGTCCCGTGTACCCCTGTCCTCTCCCGACCCGGTGCGGGTAATGCGTACCGTCCCGTGTACCCCTGTCCTCTCCCGACCGGTGCGGGTAACTGCGTACCGTTCCGTGTACCCCTGTCCTCTCCCGACCGGTGCGGGTAACTGCGTACCGTTCCGTGTTACCCCTGTCCCCTCCCGACCGGTGCGGGTAACTGCGTACCGTTCCGTGTACCCCTGTCCTCTCCCGACCGGTGCGGGTAACTGCGTACCGTTCCGTGTACCCCTGTCCCCTCCCGACCGGTGCGGGTAACTGCGTACCGTTCCGTGTACCCTGTCCTCTCCCGACCGGTGCGGGTAACTGCGTACCGTTCCGTGTACCCCTGTCCCCTCCCGACCGGTGCGGGTAAACTGCGTACCGTTCCGTGTACCCCTGTCCTCTCCCGACCGGTGCGGGTAACTGCGTACCGTTCCGTGTACCCCCTGTCCCCTCCCGACCGGTTGCGGGTAACTGCGTACCGTTCCGTGTGTACCCCTGTCCCCTCCCGACCGGTTGCGGATAACTGCGTACCGTTCCGTGTACCCCTGTCCCATCCCGACCGGTGCGGATAACTGCGTACCGTACCGTTGTACCCTACCAACCCGTCGACCGTGTACCTCTGTCCCCTTCTGACCGGTGCGAATCGACCGCGTACCGTCCGTGTACCCACCACACCCCACCGGTCGTGTACCCCTGTCCCTCCTGACCGGTGCGAAGCACCGCCTACCGTCCCGCGTACCCCACCACACCGTCGACCGTGTACCTCTGTCCCCTCTCGACCGGTGCGGACCACTGCGAACCGTCCCGTTGTACCCTGTCCCCTTCCGACCGGTGCGATCACTGCGTACCGTCCCGTGTACCCCCTGTCCCCTCTCGACCGGTGCGGATCACTGCGACCGTCCCGTGTACCCCTGTCCCCTCCCGACCGTGCGGATCACTGCGTACCGTCCCGTGTACCCACCAGTCCATCGGACGTTGTACCCCTGTCCCTCCCGACCGGTTGCCGATCACTGCGTACCGTCCCGTCGAACCTCTGTACCCTGTCCCCTCCCGACCGGTGCGGATCACCACGTACCGTCCCGTGTACCCCTGTCCCCTCCCGACCGGTGCCGATCACTGCGTACCGTCCCGTCGACCGTGTACCCCTGTCCCCTCCCGACCGGTGCGGATCACCACGTGCCGTCCTGTGTACTCCGCCACCGGGCCCCCTGTGTCCTTCAGCATCGCCGAGGCCCGCTGACCGTGTACTCGGAGCCGGTGGCCACCACGGCCTGCTGCTCCAGCCGGTTGCGGATCAGGAAGTGGGCATCCGTCTCGTCGGCGACGGGCGGCGTCAGCTCCAGCGCGCCGCCCAGCGACTCCTGCAGCGACGTCAGCACGTCCAGGCACGTCCTGGTCACCGTCATCTCCAGCGGGTCCTGCCGGCGCCGGCGGCCTTCGTCAGAGGTCAGGCACAGACAGCAGGGCGTCATGCTCTCCAGTGAGGTCCGCTCAAGGAACCAATGACCCTGCACACTGTCGCTGGAGCCCAGCGCTAACGGCCGCGAGCACGGTTAGCAACCAACGATAAAACAACGGTCGTGACATGACAACGATGATGCAGTTTACATTGCACTGAAGTCGGCCGTCAGCAACGCAGTTACTGACAAGCTTACAACCGATAATTAATTATGCAGACTGAACTACAGGACTTAACCAAGGACTTAACAGAAAACTTAGCATCTCGCCGACCGTCGCGGCCAGAACTGAGGTCCGCGCGAAAGGTTTGGTTTGGAAGTTCAGCAAGTACTTACGACCACGCCGACAATGTGACGTCAGTGGCCTGTCGTGACTGACTCGGCGCGGGACGGCCCTTCACCCCCTCATGTGGTGTGAGCGGCGGTACCACCCCCCGTCCACCGGTGCGCGGCGCGTTGCAGTCAATGCGGGCACGGGCCAGCCGATTTTTGCTCCTGGGGCGGCCACCGTCGGCAGCGGACACCGGGGCCCGGCCCACCGTCAGTGGCGGACACCGGGCCCCGGCCCACCGTCAGTAGCGGACACCGGGCCCGGCCCACCGGTCAGTGGCGGACAACGGGCCCCCGGCTCACCGTCAGTAGCGGACACCGGGCCCCGGCTCACCGTCAGTAGCGCACACGGGCCCCGGCCCACCCGTCAGTGGCGGACATCGGACCCCCGGTCTCACCGTCAGTAGGCGACACCGGGCCCCGGCCCACTGTCAGCAGCGGACACCGGGCCCCGGCCCACCGTCAGGAGCGGACACCAGGCCCTGGCTTCACCGTCAGGAGCGGACACCGGGCCCGGGCCCACGTCAGCAGCGGACACCGCGCCCGAGCGACCCACCTTGGTGGACAGTCACACTCATGACGGGCGGCAGGAAGTTGACGGAGTCGGCGCCGCTCTCCGAAGCTGGGGACAGCGGCGACGCCACGTCAGCGCGTCGTCGTTTTTCTCCACCTGCCAGGCGCCGGGCGTCAGCCGACGCAACGCAGGTCCAGTACACAGCGGGGTACGGCACAAGTCCGAGTACGGGCCCAGTACATCGCGGGTACGGCACAAGTCCGATGTACGGGCCCAGAGGCCCAGTACATCGCGGGGTACGGCACAAGTCCGATGTACGGGCCCAGTACATCGCGGGGGTACGGCACAAGTCCGATGTACGGGCCCAGTACATCGCGGGGTACGGCACAAACTCGTCTCCCAGAGGCGCTGGCTGATGTGCCGCACGCCTGCTCTGAATGCCGCTGGCAAACAACGTAACACAAGGACAAGCCCGACTGCGGTGCGTCAGTCGCTGCACATGATGATGAGGGGCTGTCCCACCCAGTGGAGCGGTGCCCAGTCCTCACGGTCCGTGCTCTGGAGACCTGGACAAGAGCATGGTCTCAACCAATGGCGGTAAGTGTTGTACAGTGGGGGGGGGGGGGGGGGAGGACAACCAGCCGAAGTGGCTCTAGTCGTCCACTGATTCTAAGTAGGTAACTCGTGAGGTGGCCATTGTTCAATGACTCAACGCACTCAACACTGAAGCTGAAATCACGACAGATGTTTGAACCGCCTCAAATGCGCACAGCCTGCTCAGACACCTGTAAGACAATGCCGTGCCGCCCATTAGCCTATTGAGTTTTATGCATACACGCTGCACGCAGGACACGATATCGCGCACATGTTATCGTAGTTTCATAACAAAATGCAGATCACGCTAGGGTCCATAAGGTATTAGCAACCATTAACGAAGTAGTAGCTGCAGACTTAACAAGTCCCTAAATCATTACAGAGGGAAACCACAAGAAACTTGATGCATGCTGTATTTGCGGTTAACACTTCTTTAGCGGTACGCCGGAGCCACTTGTGAACATCTTGCGGTGGAAAACTTCCAAGCTCGCCCAATTTCTACCTGCGTACAAAGTTTCTTCCCCACGTTCACAACGCCCTAGGTGGATTTTGAGATTCAGTCCCAACCTCTGATTGCATGAATTTATGGGATCAGCCCCACGATAAGGTCAAGTAGCGCCTCTTGTGTGGGGCCTCAGTGAACGTCTGGGCCAACGACACGACCTAGCGGCGGAAGCGTGCCGTAATGTTCGGCGCGGTCCGTCCCAGCCTCTGACGTCCCTAACCTTCAGCGGTGGATGCCACCGGCCGCAGGCCATCTCAGTCAGGGGCAAACAGCGAGCGTCTAAAGCGACTCGAACTCACCCCGCCACGGATGAGTGAGCTCGATCCAAACGCTCCAACCAGCTGGACTGCACGTGACGGACAATCCACGCGCCAAGAGCGGACGAGCTTTCCCACGGGCCGTCTGCGCTCCGGCTCACCTTCATGTGCAGCTCCCAGGGCGAGAAGGAGACCATGCCCGACTCGCGGCGCTCACGCACTCGATGATCGGCTCCCACGCGGCCAGCCGGCTGTTGTAATACGCCAGCTCCAGCGTCAGCGACGACTCGGCCAGCAGCTGGCGGCAGCGGAGGCACGTCAGCACGGCGCCGGACCAGCGGCCAGCGGCCGCGACACGTCAGCGCCGGGAGCGAGCGGCAGCAGGCGCAGCGTGCCTGGCCCGACGCACCCGCTCGGCTGGGCCGAACGCGTCGCTGCCACCCGGCGCGGCTCACCTTGGAGCTCCAGTCCTTGACCTGGGCCTCGAACGCCGCGTCCAGCAGCACGAGCGGCACGTTCCGGGCGCCGACCACCTGCTCGACGGTGACGCTGAGCGAGCGCGCCTTGAAGATGAGCTCCTCCTCCTGACGGACGCCGCCGCTGGCAGCGGGCAGCGCCGGCACCGGAACCTCCTCGCACATCTCCTCCCCAACCTCTGCACGCACAGCCGGGCGGCACGGATAGAGAGCGGGCGGGAACACGTGCTCCAGGGCAGGTAGCACCAGCATCCGCCAGAGGCAGCCATATAACAAACGCTAGTAAAAGTGTAGGCAAGTTACACACGCACCACAATCGCATGATACAAATACCAAAAACGTAGTAATACCATTATCTCATTCGAAAGCGTACACAATGGACACATATCTAATAGCCAGTCTGTTCCTTGTGCTAAGGCAAGGGTCTGTTATGATAGGGCAGGGGTCAAGACATCTGTTCCCTATGCCAAGGCCCGGCCCCTTGTGCCCTCACCGGCCATCGCGCCACGCGACCAAACCGTGATTACGCATCTAGAGACGGCGGGAAAAACGCGATTGCACCCGCCCAAGCGCATAAGAGCATGCTGAGCTAGTACGAGCGGGAAGCTCTGGGTGCGGCAGTTAACACTACGCAGATATCACGGGAACCCGACTGTCGGTGCTGTCGCTCTCTAGCTTCCCCGACGCCCTATCAAATATGTCCGCCGTATGACTGCGGTTAGCATGATGACAGTCAAGTTCAGATATGATCAAGAGGCCTGCACTTTAACGTAAATTAATGTTTTTAATGTTTTTTAGACGCATTTTTCAGCATATGTACGCCTGCCAAATGCTATGAGCGAGAGAGTAAAACCCGTTATTAAAAGATATGTGGGACTGGATATTCTCAACCAAACAACCAAAGAACTGTCCCACAAGACCAAGTCCCACACCAGCTGGGTGGCCATCTCCTGACCCAGAATCACGCGGCGACAGCTGACCCCACATCGGCAGGCACGCAGGGTTGTACAAGTACCACAATTCCGTAATAAGTTGATCGCAGTATTACGAAAGCTCGCATTTCTATCAGGCGTGGTTTCCTGAAGCACTGTAATATGCAACATGTAATATGTAATATGTAACTCAGCGCCCCTACTTCTAGAGCACATTTTGGGCGAAGGCCCACAATAGGAGCGGAGCCCGTCGCGACAGATAACGCCGTGGTGGGTAACACCTTGCGCTGTTGTTCGATCACAAACAACGGCGTTCGACGCCTTCCCGTCTCACCCCCACAAACCGCACCCCAGCTTGCCCGCTCCTAACAGCCGTCCGTCACATCCCGCGCCATGGCCACATCACGACGGCCGGTGACATGCGCAAACTCTGCCCGTCACCGGCCGTAGCCGAGCAGCGCCAGAGCCTGGCGGCGGCGACGGTCGGGATGGTGACCGGTGGGGTACGGGCCGACTGTGAGCGCCGGCCGCACGAGCCGGCCACCTGCGCCCGGCTGGCCGAAGCGGCGGGCCGCTGCGCCGCCGCGTGCCGCTCACCCGTCTGCATGAACCAGAA